CTTCTCCTCCTTCTTCTCCTCCTCCTCCTCCTTCTCCTGCTCTCCTCTCCTCTCCTCCCTGCACTACCTGTGGTCGTGGAATTGGGAAATCGGCCCATCAGATGAGGCCCATGGTCACGTCGAAGTTCTTGCTGTGGAGGACGTGGACCGCGAACAGCCCGAAGCCGGTCCTCGACTCGAGGAGCTGGTGCAGGTCCTGCTCCTGCGGGGCCAGCCCATACAGGCACCGCCACCCGTCGGCTACAGAGAAGCAGCAAACACAAACATCGGGCGTCGCTTACTGGGGGGAGGCGATAGGGGGGGGGGGGGGGAACAGGTGCGCTCACCGGGCCCTTCTGGCCCCCCCCTTTATGGGCCCTAAAGGTTCCCTCAGGGGCCCTTGAGGGCCCCTTCTGTGCAGCCCTCGCAGCGCCCACGTGTATCGCCCCCCCTCACGCGACGCCCAACAAAACATGCTTCCGACGGCGCCAGCGAAGGCCGCCAATGCCAGCCTGCGCCAGGCGCGACACCTCGGCCTTTCAATGGTCTGTGCAAGCAAGGCTACCCACGCATGATGTGCGAAATCCTGCGACCTGCCGCTGGAGCCATGACCCGGAAGACCTTTCGATAGCAGATCGCGATGGTGGTTCATGCATGTGCGCGCAGTCAAAAACACTCGCGACGTCGGCGCTGCTCGCAAGGGCAGGAGCGGGGACGGCAACGGAGTGGGCGCAGCGTTCCACGACAAACGCCGACCGCAGCATTCCGAACCCATGCGAATCGACTGAGGCTTCGGCCCCTGCCCCTGTGAGGCGCTCCGGCAGGGGCCTCGCCTCTGAGCGCCGAAGGAGCTGGCAGCCCTGCCTCGGCGGAAGGCGGCGGAGGGCCTGAGGCCGCCTCTGCAGGCGGACGCCGGCAGAAGAGCAGCAACACCCTCGGAAAGTTGGCAACCTCTTGGGGGCTCAGGGTCTCCGAAACCCGCCACGTGGGCCCCGGAGCACCTGCCGCATCCTGTACTCCACCTCGGCCTTCCGCAGCATGGAGCCGACCGGGTGGAACGTCCTGGTCGTGAGGCCCGCCTAGAAGAACAAAAAAAACGCCAGAAACCTAAACTTCTGGCGCTCCGCGCGAAGTTCTTGGATCCGCGCTGGGCCCCCCCCAGCCCAGCGGCGCCTCCAGCGCCGCCCCTGGCGCGCTCCGAGCGGCCCCGCGCGGATCCGAGCACTCCGCGCGGACAAAAGTCAATGCTCATGGCGCTTCTTCTTCTTCGCCGACAGCCGTCATCGAGCCCATGGAGGATGCCATGGAGAAGCCGGAGCCGCTGCTGTCCGCCCGGCCCCGCGGGGGCTGCGCCTCCTTCGCGGCCATCTCGTCTGAGCTGGGGCCCGGCGCGCGTCACAGCATCGGGCGGCGCCGCCCGCCCGGAGGGTCCCCTGGGGCCTCGGGCCCAGGGCGAGGGAGGGGGGGGGGCGAAGGAGCAGGCTGCGGAGGGGTTGGCCCAGACCCCCTCGGGCAAGGACAAAGATCGTGACGGGAGGTTTTGTCCACATGTTCGGCCTCTGGAGGTCCTAACGGGGCCTCGGGACTGTCAACAAAAACGACTCGAGATGAAAAACTGGTCCCGGGGAATGGGTCGAGACCTGCCAGGGTCGACGTTCTGAAAACATCATGACGTCGGGGGTCTGGGGGATCAGGTCGGGCGCGTCCTCCTACAGGCGGATTTTGGACAGAAAACAAAACAACATACTCAAACGACTCTCAAACAGAACCAAAGAAGCACGAAACATCGCCCCCAGATCTGCCCCACCATCCTCTTGCACCTCCCGAGGGACCCGTGCCCGACTCCAGGCCGCGGGGGCGGGGCAGAGGGCGGAGAGGAGCCGGGGGCAGGGGGCCCGTGCGCGGGGAGCTGGGGCAGGGGCGCCAGGCAGGGAGGGCAGCGCGGGAGGGGGGGGAGGGCGGCGAGGAGCGAGGCCGCGCACTGCAGCGACACGGCGCCGGCAGCGAGGCGATCGGGCTCCTCGCGCGGCGCGTGCCCTGCGCGGCGCGTGCCGGGTGCGCCCCGGGCGACGAGGGGGCGGCCCCGCGCGCCACGGCGCAGCTGCGCGGCGGCGGCGGGGCGACCCCTGCAGGCCGCTCGCTGGCCCCAGGCGGGTCGCCAGGGCCGACAGGGCGCGCCGCCGGACTCGGCCACGCGCAGAGGGGGCTGGAGGGGGGGGGGAGGGCTTCTGAGAAGCACCCCCTGCTTTTCAGAGGACGCGGGCCGGATCCATAGATGCAAGGCCGGCGCCTTCTAGGAAGCAGCCTCCTTCGAAGAAGCCCTCCCCCCTCCCTCCACCCCCGTGGGCGCGCCGCCAACTGACACCTCCCCCCCGCTCACGGCATCGAGGGGCGGCGCTCCCAACGGCCAGCTTGCACGTCTGGAGGGCGGGTCGCTGCGAGAACGGGGCTCTCGCCTCGGCGTCGCGCACACTCGCCTGGAACATTTGGGAGGGGCTCCTTCTCCAAAGGGGTTTCTCGCCCGAGATTCCCAAAGCGGGGGGGCCCCTCTTCAAGGAGGGGCGCCTTAGGGGGACGCCTCTCGGACAGTGATCCGCCACAGTGCCCTCGAGCACAGGGCAACGCATCTTTACTTCTGCGGCCACAGCGGGCGTTATGGGGGGGGACAGGGGGAGGGGACGGGAGGGGGCACAACGTAGCGCCCCCCCCCAGCTCCCAGACTGTGGCGCCGGACGTGCCGCGGCAGTGCTAGGGCGCATTGAGGGCGTTACGTTATGTGCGAGGGGGGGGGGGTAGGGGGCAGAACGCGCATCATGGCCCACAGGGTAGAAACAAAACTCTCGAGCGGGCGTGTCCTCAGGTTCTCTGCTCAACCCCTCAGTCCTGAATCCTGAGGGTGCTTGAGGGGCTCGGATCTGGAGGCTGTCGGCTTTCGTCGCGTCCACTTTTGCGGAGAGGCGCTACACTAATAGGCATTGAGCCAATGGACTCCACCTGCTCGGCCCCCATGAGCGGAGCGGAGCTCCGCTAATCGGCCTCGAACCAAAGATTAGGATTGCCTCGCTCCCGTTAGCGGGACGGCGTTAACCTAATTGTTGTCCTCGAGCCAAGGACTTGCCGCTGCTTCGCTTCCACTCGCTGAGCTCCTGAGCTCCTGACTCCTGACTCCTGACTCCTCCTCCTCCTCCCCCTCCTCCCCCTCCCCCTCCACCTCCCCCTCCTGACTCCTGACTCATCCTCCCCCTCTCCCTCCCCCTCCTGGTCCCGAGGCCTTGCCTCGGGACCAGGCTTCCCGCACCGTCCGCGCCTGCGCGAGGCGCCCGCGGGCTCCCACTCCCGGGAGCCGCGCCGCGCGGCCCGCCCTGGCTCAGGGCGCAGAGGCCGCGGCGGCAGCGTCGGCTGGAGGTAAGTCGGGCCTGTCCCCCTCTACAGGGGGAGCTTCGACGAAAAATCATAAAATACCGAACAAAAATCCCCAAACATACTGAAACATAGTCAAAACATGATCCCCAGACTATGTTTATGACTATTTTTGAGCATTCCTCCTGTAAAAGGACAGGCCCGACTGAAGGCTAGAGCCCGCCTGGCACGCCTGCACACCAGCGCGGCTACAGCGCCCCAAACAACCCCTGAGAGGCTCAGTGCGCGGAGGGCCGTGGGCGGTCCAGATCCGGGCAGCGAAGGGCAGGGAGAGCGGGCCGCGGGGGCGAAGGGCAGGGAGAGGAGGGAGCGAGGGGCAGGAGGCACAGGGGACGACGACGACGACGACGACGACGACGACGACGACGACGACGATGCCGACGACGACGACGACGGCGACGACAGCGGCGGCGGCGGCGCGGCCGCGGCGAGCATCCGCCTGGCGTCCGCGTCGCTGCCCTCGGGCGAGTCCACGGCCTGGGCGGCGCGGGCCGTGCGCCTCGCCTGTGGGGCGGGGGGCCACGGGGCGGGCGCGCGGCTCCGAGGGGCGCAGGCACCGGGCGGCCAGCGGCTGCCGCTCTCGGCAGGCGGGGCTGGTTGGTGAGCGCCCAGGCCCGTTCAGAACACGCCACTTGTCGGGTCCGGGTGGTTCTTCCTCCCTTGATTCGAATTGTGGATGCCATGGCAATGGACACTCTAACAATCCGATCAATGAATTAACGATGTGTTTCAACTGTGTAAAACATGTTCTAAAATGCTTCAATCGTGATTTTTACAAATAGAAAACATGTTTGAAACATGTTCTAGACATCTGGAAATTATTTGGCAGCATGCTTCCTCTCCAGTAATCGACCTCCACAAGATGAGACGCCTTCAGCGGCATTTGGCGAGCTCAGTCTAGCCTTCGGTGGCCTTTGGGGACCTCTTTGGTGCGTGTGTGTGACTGGCGGCCTTCCGTGGGGCCTGTCGTCGCCCTCGTGCGGCCTCTTGGCAGCCTCTGGTGGCCTTCCGCGGCCGCCAGTAGCCTGCACAGAAGTGCAAAGAAGAGTACAGTACGTGTTGGAGTGAGCTTCCACAAAAATAGAGGAAAGAGAAGTATGCACATGCACCGATTCTGGCCAGGCCCATCCTGAGCCCAGGATCGGTGCATACGCCCTCCTGCCTTGGCCAGGAAAGCCTATGTTCTGATCTTGGGCCACGGATAGGCCTGGCCAGGATCGGTGCATGTGCATACTTCTCTTCGCCCGACAAAAAAGGCCTGCGAAGAGGGATCTTGCCACAGGAAAGTTCGGGGCGGCACAACGGCCGCCCACCTCCGACCTGCCCGGAAGGATAGCACGGAGCTCTCCCGTGCGCCGTGGGCCCCCTCGGGGCCTCTGCAGAACAGCAAGAAGGATAACGACCTGCATCAGGATACAGACCACCTTTCGGAGGTTCGTGCGGATCCGCTGGTCAGGTATTGCTAGAAGTGGTCCTGTCGCAGGGTGTCCCCAGCCTTTGGGACCATCTTGGAGCCCCTGGGGCCATCTGAGCCTCGTGAGGGGTGCTCTGGAGGCCATCGCGGCCTCCCCGGGGATCCTGGGGACACCTTGGGCCAGAGACCACGTTGGCAACACCTGGCTTCGAACGGCGCTGGAGCCCACCCTCTGGCGTGCAGAGCGCGCGGGGGGGGGCCGCCAGGGGGGCCCGACACCGACCGGAGAGATCCGCGCGGGCCTCCGACGATCGGCGTTCCTGCTTCTTGTCGTCCTTCGGCTCTGGAGGGGTGAGACCTCTCTGTGTGGCACCTGCTCCCCCGTGGGACTTCGTGCAGCGAGGTTTGGGCCACAGAACGACATAGCAGTACTACATGTCCTCCTCGGAGGCGCGCGTCCGACACGAACATATAGTATACCCCTCGTGTAGCATATCGCTTCCCGAGCGCTGTGGCCACAAAGCGCCCGCCACGACGCTTCTACTATGAGGCTTCTCGGCGCGCGCGCGTCGCCCCTGGGGTGGGGTGGGAGCGACCCACACATAGTAGTTATAGTATTTTGGGGTGGCACCGAAAGTTTCCTACTTGGGTGAGCCCTGGGCGTCCCCACTGCGGTGCTGGTGTCCGTCACCGCAGGGACCAAATTCAGCCTGGAGCGATCGCGGCCTCCCTGCAGCCCCCCCCCCCTCGAGAGGGGGCTGCATCTCACGCTCTGTACGCGGGGCTCCTCCTCCTCCTCCTCCTCCTCCTCTCCTCCTCCTCCTCCTCCTCCTCCTCCTCCTCCTCCTCTCTTCTTCCCTCCCTCCTTCTCCTCTCTCCGTCCCTCGTTCTCCTTCTCCTCCTCCTCCTCCTCCTCCTCCTCCTGCTGGACCGTGGCACCATGGTGCTCTCGCCCCCGGGCCCCTGGGCGGCCCCCCCGCGCAGAGCCGTGCAAGCCGTGAGCGGACTGAGGGGGAGCAGCTTGCCCAGCCCCCTCGCAGACGAAGCCAGGACGAGGACAAAAGCGGGTGAGGACAAATCGAGAACCTCTCTGAGGACGAGGACAAATCGAAGACGAAGCCAGGACGAGAACAGGACAACATCGGGTGAGGACGAATCGAGAACCTCTCCGAGATCCAGTTGGGCGTCGCGCTAAGGGGTCACTTCCACGGGCTCTCAAGGCCACCTTGCTACAGCACTCACTGACACCCCCATTCGATTGCCCCTTCATGACGCGACGCCCAAGAACCTCTGAGATCCAACGGCTCTGAAGGATATCCCGGGCGCCGCGGCCTTCTCAGAGCGTTCCGGAACGCTACGCTCTCTGAGAGCGTTCTGGAATGCTCTGGCTCTGAGAGCGTTCGGGAACGCTCTGCAACGGAGTTATCCTCGTTCTGGGGGTAGCCAAAGGGTGCCCGATACCGCTGCTCCCCAGACCTTTCCTGGGGTGTGTTCTGACCAGGATCTCGGGGCGAATCCGGCGGTGGCGACGAGGGTCTCCCAGGAGGACCCCCAGAGGGGAAATCGAGGGAGGGGTCGCAGTTTTCAGGAACTTTTTTCCTCCTCTGGGTCCTGGCCTCGTCCGAGCCTCGCCCTCGCGGCACGCCTCAGTCGGATGGTCCAGCGCCAGACGCCTCGAGGCACGCAGCGGCGCTCGGGCCACCGCCGCGCTGTGCACGACGCGGACCTGCCGCGAAAGCAGCAGCGGAAGTCGCCGTGCTGCTACCATTAGGTCGGGCATGTCCCCCTACAGGCGGATTTTGGGCGAAAAACCAAAGATACTTACAACAAAATCTGAAAATAGCCACAAATAATCAAAAAAATCGTCCCCTGACTATTTTTGACCCTTTTCGAATACTTCTCCTGTAGAGGGACAGGCCCGACTTAATGCTGCCACGAGGAGCGCCAGGTAACCGCAGAAGGTCTTCAGACCCCCCCCCCAATAAGGTGTATTTTTGTTTTTCGGCGGCCGTGCTTTCACGGATTGGTGTTCCACCGAAAGAGGAAGCTGATCACTCTTCCCCGCGGCACCCGCCAGAAGCTACGACTACGATTGCAATTAAGATTAAGACGACTACTAGTTATGGAATCGAGGGGGGTGGTAAGCAGAAAAAAAAAACCTTAGGCCTCCAAGGGTCCTTGCTGGGCTTCGGAACCGTCAACAACACGACTCGGTATGAGAAACCGGTCCCTGGGACTGGGTCGAGACCTCCGACGTTACGAAAAAAACATGACGTCAGGGGTCTGGGTCCGGGTGTTGCTTGAAGTGCGTTTGGCCCAAGGTGCCCCCAGGATTTGCAAGGAGGCCCCCGCGGCCTCCGGAGCACCCCTCGCGAGGCCCAGAGGGCCCCCTGGGCCTCAGAATTGGGCGAAAGCTGGGGCATCTTGGGCCAGGGGGGACGTGTGTGCTCGTGTTCTGGATCAAGTCTCCAGCGAAGAGACAAAGAGGCTACGTGTTTCGCCCCCCCCCCCCCCCCCCCCCCCCCCCCCCCCCCCCCCCCTCCCCCCCCTCCAGGGGCGTTTCGGGCCAACTCGCCTACGGTGCAGCATCGATCGGACGAGCATCCTCGACGATGGGGCCGGGGGGGCGGAGCGGAGAGATGCGGTGCACGGCGGGTGACAAAAAACGAACCCACCCTGGCCACGGCGAGCCCGGGTCACGAGCAGCCTCCAGAAAGCAGAGCCCCTCCTGCACCCAGCGCGCTCCTTCTCTCAGCGTCTCGACTGCACAGCAGGAGGGCGAGGACGGGAGACATCGATCGAGGAGGAGGAAGCCTCCCCTCCCCATCTTCTTTCCCTTCCTTGCCCCCTGCTTCGCCTCCCCCCATCGGACCAACGAGGAGTTCGAAGCGAATCCGACTGTGGAGTTCTCATGGGGCAGCGAACTCGTGCAAACAGCGTCGAGATCACCTTAGCCTCCCCATCCTCCTCCTCCTCCTCCTCCTCCTCCTCCTCCTCCTCCTCCTCCTCCTCCTACTCCCCCACCTCCATCCCCCCCCTCCACCTCCACCACCTCCTCCTCCTCCTCCTCCTCCTGCTCCTCCTCCTCCTCCTCCTCCTCCCCTCGAAGGATCGCTTTAGAACTACTCGACATGAATGCTGTTCTCTTCTCTCCTCTGATCATGTCCAGCGGTGACACCGCCTCTCTCGCACCGTTTTGGTAGAAACGCACAGGACTTCAACAAGCTGGTGTTTCACATGTGCGTTGTCGATCGGATCGGACCTCGCCTGGTCCGTCAGGACTGGTGTCCAGGCTGCAGTGTGGGCCGCATATCAGGTTCTGCGCTTTGCTCCCGTCGTTCGGAATGACGCTGTCGTTATAGCGCGGACCACATGTGTGGATCCGATTCATTCCTCGTCGTTCGTCATCATCATGCTCCTCCTGCTCATCCTCCCTCTCACCCGCCACCTCATATCCCTCCAATGTGCAGAGCCCCCTCTATAGGTCCTATATGACACCCCAATCGGCGGATATAGCATAATTCAACGCACTGGGCAGAGATGGGAGAAACGGGTGCAATGTCTTGTATTGCGCAGGAGCAACTGTGTGGCCACGCCCCCTCCTTGTGCTCCTCTTTCTCTTTCTCTTTCTCTTCCTTGTCCGTTTCCTTCCCCCTTCTCCTCCTCCTCGTCGTCGTCCTCTTCCTCCTAATCCTCCTCCCTGCCCTTCCTTGTCCTTCTCGATCTGACTTACCCCCTTTCCGCATCTTGTTTCACTCTCTCTCTCTCTCTCTTGCTCTTTCTGTTTTTTGTTGATTATCTCTCTCTCTCTCCCTTTCTATATATATATATATCTCTCTCTCTCTCTCTCTCGTTCTCTCTCTCTCTAGTTCTCTCTCTCTCTCTCTCCCTGTCTCACTCTCTGTGTATCCCTCCTCCTCCCCCTCCCCCCTCCACCTCCCTTTTCCTCCTCCTACTCCTCCTCCTTCCTGTTCCTCCTCCCCCTGAAGCCCCTCCTGGAGCCTCTGACAAGTCTGTTCCTTCATGGAAGATTCGTACCTGTGCCACCTGGCACGTTGAGGCGTGGCGGCATGCCACGTGATGTGGTGCGGCCAGGTTTCCGACGCCCTCGGAGGGCCCCGAAACCCCCTCTCGACGCCCTTCCTTGCGCGTGCCGGCCTCTTTCCCCAGGACCCCCTGGGCGGCCAAAGGGGACCACCGAGGCCGCCAAAGTGGCCCAACACTGCCTCTCAAGCCGCACACAGGGGCCTCTAACCCGACGAATCATGTAAGAACCTCCTTCCGATGTTATCGTAGCACCGCGCCAACAAACATCCCAAGGGGACTTTCGCCGAACGACAACTTCAGCACCGCGCCAGACAGGTCCCGAGAAGCCTCTCACGGGCCCTGAGACACCCTCCACTCCCCAAGAGGACCACGCACGGTGATGCGACTCGACTTCTTCAAACTGTGTTCCGTAATTACCTTTGGTCGAAGATCGTCCAGTGGCGGTCTTCGGGGGGCCCAGAAGAGCTCACTGAGCGCCCCAAGAAGCCCCCCAGTCAGGCGGCCCAGGACAGCCCCAAGAGAGTCCCACGCTGGCCCCAGAGGACCTCTGCAGGGACGACCCCGACAGGGCCCCGACACTGCCCCACGACGGCCCCACGAGACTCATCGGACGGCCGAGAGAGTTCCAGGACGGCCCGACGGGGCCCCTCGGGACGGCCCAGGAGGGCCCCCAGACGGAACCAAGAGGGCCACAAGGGCCCCCCTGGGCCTGCCCTACAGGAGCAAGAGACAGCCACGAAACGGCCGAGATACTGCACCTGCGGGCTCCTCAAGAAGTGAGAACGGGTGGTTTACCAGCCTCGAACGTATCCCTATCCCTAAGATTGACACGCCAAAAGGCGATGACAATCTTAGGGATTCGCCCTCAAAAAATAAGGGAATCCCTAAGATTGGCATCGTGATGAGGAGGTGTCCAGCATAGGGATACGGATATGTTCCAGGCTGGTGGGCGGTGTCGGATGCGACCACCTCCCCGGCGGCGCTCGACGGGTCGCCACAAGAGAGTGCTGTGCTGGCGCGGCGGCAGACTTGCCGCAGGCACGGGGCTGTCGGAAAGGACCCCGTCGGGCTCCTCGACGCGCACCCCCGTCGTGCACAGGGCGGGGAACGCGGCGGCAGAACGCCAAAGCCCGCCGGGAGGTGGCCCCAAAGGCCAGCCCGGCGCCGCGGGCCCACGCCCGGCCGACCATGCAGGCGAGAGCACAGCCTGGTGAAATCCACCAGCGCCAGCGCATGCGATGCTACCTGCGCCACCATCAGGCCTCCCTGAGGAACGAGCGCACGCCATGCAGCACATGGCGCCGCGCCGTTTGCTCTCGACGAGCCCAGGCTGACGACACCGACACTACGGCAAACCCACGGCAAGCCCTGCGTCCCGCGCCCCCAGTCGGCGGAGCCGGCACCGCGTCACACCCACGGCGAACCCTCCGCGCCCGAGGCGGCGTTTGCCCTGGTGCCCGAGGAGCCCTCCCCGAGACCGAAGGCAGCGCGTCGGAGCAAACGGCGCGGCGACACACCAACTGAGACCGTCTCATTCGTTGGTGAAGACGTGCGCCCACCGCGATGACAGGCGCTCGGCGTAGCCGAGAGCATCCTCTTCACGCTCAAGCCAAGCGAAAATCAACAGATCCCATGAGCCTGCATGTTGTCCGGGGTGGCGCATGGCAACAAGTGCATGCGCAGCCAGGCCTACCTGCACGAATGGAGAAGGCGGCGCAAAATGCAAAGCGACGCGGGAAGCCCAGGGCGGGCCTTTTTGCACAAACGACTACCTGCCGGCGCCCGCCCTGTTGTAGACGTGCACGAAGGATACACCGCCAATGACGTCCAAGCAGCAAGAACAGACAGCACATGCAATGCCATGCCTGTCTGCACGACTGGAAAGCGCAGCAAGAAACACAATGTGACGCAGAACGCCTAGAACGGGCACCACTGCACAAACCAGCGCCTATCTGCCACGGCCCTGGGACGAGACATATTGAAACTGCATATTGAAAAAAAAGATCGTATGCAGAAAGTTCGGGCACTGTGGATTGTTTTGTTTTTTCTCTACCCCCAGCGCAACACCGCAAGGCTGCGCAACAGCGTGAAACGGAGCAGCGAAAGGCGGCCGTTCACCCGCACGTGCCCGCGTGCCGAGTGTTCAAATGGGCCTTGAAGCAGCAACAACAACAACACCAACAACAACAATAACAACAACAGCAACAACAACAACAACAACAACCACAACGACAACGACGACGACGACGACGACGACGACGACGACGACAACAACAACAACAACAACAACAACAACAACAACAACAACAACAACAACAACAACAACAACAACAACAACAACAACAACAACAACAACAACAACAACAACAACCACAACAACAACAGCAACAACAGCAACAACAACCACAACAACAGCAACAACAACCACAACAACAACAACAACAACACCAACAACAATAACAACAGGTTAGGGCACTGTGGAAAGGTGGGTTTTGTGCTGCACAGTCGTATTTTTCTGCCGCGCTTCGAAGCGCCAGTGTGCCTCTTCGGGACACCCCCCCAACGGGCGGCACCGGCAGACGGCGGGCGGCAACGGCCCCGAGCCCGGCGACTCCTCGGCGCCCGCCCACGGGCGACAGCGGACGGCAGCGGGCCAGGACGTGGCGAGCCCCTTTGGGACACACTCGGAAGCCGGGCAAGGGCTGCTAAATCCGTGGCTGCTGAAATCGACCTCCGGGAAGTTGTCTTCGTCCTTCCGGGAAGAAGCCCGTTGACTGTTTCGCGTGCCGCGCCTCATTCCGGGAAGTTGTTTTTTCCCTCCTGGAGAGCCGTTTTAGCAGCCACGGTTTCAGCAGCCCTCGCCCAGCTTCCGACACACGCCCACGAGCGGCAACGGGCGGGAGCTGGCTGGAGCGTGGCGGATCCTCGGCACAGCCCCACGGGACCAAGGCAGCGGCAGGCATCGGCGGCGACGACGGGCTGGAAGGCTGCCCCGGGGACTCGCCACGGTAACGTGGCGAATCCCCGGGACACCCCCACGAGCGGCAGCGGGTGGCAACGAGGCGGCAACAGGCCGGACTGGAAACGCAAGTAAGAGCCCACCTATGCAAACACAGTCTGAGAAGCAACCCCAACGACGTGCTCCGTCATTTCAGGCACGAGCCTCCTACAGAAATGCCGTGCAGCAAGACCGCAAACGCATCGACGGAAGGGATCTCGCGGCCGAGTGCGTGGAAGTGCGTTTGAGAGGTGCCCTGCTCGCGCAGACCACCCTGAGCCCCAGCCCCAGGGAGAAGGGACAACCCCGGCAATTGCTTCAGACAGTGGTTTGAGACAGAATGGCTACCGAACTCTCCCTCTTCCTCCTCATGCTCGCTCCTCCTCCTCCTGCTCCTCCTCCTGCCCCTCTTCCCCCTCCTCCTCCTCCTCCTCCTCCTCCTCCTCCTCCTCCTCCTACTCCTACTCCTACTCCTACTCCTACTCCTACTCCTACTACTCCTACTCCTACTCCTACTCCTACTCCTCCCTACTCCCTCCCTCCCTCCCCTCCCCTCCCCTCCCCTCCCCTCCTCTCCCCTCTTCTCCCCTCCCCCCTCCTCCTGCTCCTCCTCCTGCTCCTCTTCCCCCTCCTCCTCCTCCTCCTCCTCTTCTTCCTCCTCGTCCTTCTCCTCCTCCTCCTGCTCCTCCTCCTTCTCCTCCTCATCCTCCTGCTCCTCCCCCTCCTCCTCCTCCTCCTCCTCCTTCTCCTCCTCCTTCTCGTCCTCCTCCTCCTCCTCCTCCTACTTCGTCTCCACCTCCGGCTGGCAGGACGAGTTAGCAGCCGCTGCGCGCCTCGGTCGCCGGTCTCGTGCTGCTGCCATTGCCAGCAGCATCTCCCTCCCGCCTGTGCGGAGAGGGCGCCGCGGCCGCCGCTGTCGTCCTCGTCTGGACTGGTGAGGAGCTGGAAGAGACGTGGGGGAGAAGGAAGGGGGGAGGAGGACGAGGGAGGGGTGGAAGGAGAGGGAGGTGGGTGGAAGGAGCGTGAAGCCCATGCAGATGGGCGCACTACTCGAGGGAGGGAGAGGCGGGAGGAGAGGGGAGGGGTGGGGCGTCCCGTCCCTGGGCCGTCCTCGGTGCCAAAGTGGTCGCCGACGTGGCGCGGCGGCGGGAGGGGGCGCGCGCAGCGCGCGCAAGGTCGCCCCCCCCCCCCCCCCCTTACCCGCTCGCGGCGCGCTCCCAACAGGCAGCGACGGCGTGAGGGCCCTCGCCAGCCTGGGTGCAGACTGAGCAGCGCAGGAGGCGCAACGAGAGACCGAAAAGTGGAGGGCCCGCGAGGGCAAGTAGCATTTCGGCGGCGAGCGTGAGGAGGGAAGTGAGAAGGGGCGGACCTTCTCAAAGGCTCGGATGTCCCCCGCCCTTCTGAGAAGTTTTCTAAGCCATCCCCGAAAGCAGAGAACACTTCTCAGAAGGCTGGAAGGATTCCGAGAAGCCCCGCCGCCTTCTGAAAAAGTATTCTCTGTCTCACTTCCCCCCCTCGGCCGCCGCTGAGCACTAGAACAGCGGGCGTCGGCAAGAAGCCCCCACTTCCCTCAGGGGCGGTGGCGACGAGGGCCTCGCAGGAGGGGAAACGAAGTGAAAAGGTGTGAAAGGCAGCGGTATCGGTACCTTTTCCTCCGTTGACCTTCCGCCTTCCCCCTCCTCCCCCTTCTCCTCCTCCTCCTCCTCCTCCTCCTCCTCCTCCTCCTCCTCCTGATCCTCCGAGCTCATCCCGCGCTCCACCCCCCTGGCCCCTGGACCGGCATCCGCGGCCCCAGAGGTCCCGACCCATTCCCCAGGATGTCTGTTCTTCCCGAATCCAATGTTGATGGTCCCCGGGCCCGATAGTAGGGCCGAGGAGGCCGAAATCCAGGACAGGCCGCCGGATTGGCAAAATCACGTCCTCGGATCTCTGGGCCCCTCCCCCTTCCCTCCTCCTCCCCTTGCCCCTCCTGCGCTCCATCCCCCTACCCCTGGAGCATGCTCCTCGGACGGGGCTGGGACGATGACAACTCCGTTCCAGAGCGCTCCGAAACGGTCTCAGAGTGTTCGTTCTGGAGCGCTCTGATATGGCCGCAGCGCCCGACACATCCTCCAGAACCGCCAGATCTCAGAGATTCTGGACGGGGGAGGAGGGGGAGGAGGAGACGAAGGAGGAGGAGGAGGAGGCGGAGGGGCGGGGGAGCGGGAGGAGGAGGAGGAGGGGAAGGAGGAGGAGGAGAAGGAGGAGGAGGAGGAGAACAAGGAGGAGGAGGAGGGGGAGGAGGAGAAGGAGGAGGAGGAGGAGGACGAGGAGAAGGAGGAGGAGGAGAAGGACGAGGAGGGGGAGCATCTATCTGTGTATCTCGAGGGGGCCTGGGGACCACACCAACAAGGAGCCACAGATCCCAGGACTCCCCACATCTGCTCCTACAGCTTCTGGGTTTCCGTTCCCCGTCCCACTTCCCATGTGTTCCGTTTTCCCACAAGTTCAGGGACACCGGCAGTGAATTGTGTCTGTGTGTGTATTTGTTTCCCCTCCTGCACGTCCACCTCCCTATATGCATATGCATAGGTAGATGCGCAAATGTGCCATGTCATATTCTAGGGTATTCGGATGAATGAGATGTCTTGTGTAACATGTTGTGCTATATCGTGTTCGATTACATTGGCCTTGGCACATGACAAATCAGCCGCGTCTGGGTCTCCAGGCCCTGATGCGTCCCATTGGCAAAACTCACGACGGACGATTTTGCGCTACCTTCGGCCTCCGGCTGGCCTCGGGACTGTGAACAAAACGGCTCGGGCTGAAAAGCTGGTCCCGGGGAGTGGGTCGAGGCCTCTGGGGGGCGCCCAGAAGGGCAAAATCAGTCAGCATCGAATTTGACAACCGCATCGAATCGGCAAGTGCGTCGGATCGGGCCGCATCGGCACGGCGTCGAGATCGAAACGGATCGGCTGCGCCAGGATGCGCACCAGCGCGATGCAAGCATCGGGCCGCATCGAATCGCCGGGGCATCGAGGTCGGATCGGATCGAGCTGGCCGAAAACGAAACCGCATCGGATCGATCGGATCCAACTGGACCCCGGGAGGCGGGGCGTCCGAGGGGGCCCTGGACTTCACCTTGCGCCAGGGTAGCAAGAATGCACGCCAAGAACACGAGACCCTGCGCCGAAGGCCTTCTGCCCCCTCTGAAGGTGTTCCTCCTCCTCCTCCTCCTCCTCCTCCTCCTCCTCTCCTCCTCCTCCCTCCTCCTTCTGCGTCCCCTCCTCCTCCTCCTCCTCCTCCTCCTCCTCCTCCTCCTCCTCTCCTCCTCCTCCTCCTCCTCCTCCTCCTCCTCCTCCTCCTCCTCCTCCTCCTCCTCCCTCCTCCTCCTCCCTCCTCCTCCTCCTCCTCCTCCTCTTCCTTTTCCTCCTCCTCCTCCTCCAGGCGACAGGCGAAGAGCAGTCCCGCGTGGAGGGCCCAAACGCGAAGAACAGCCAGGGTGCCCCTCGGAGGCCGGGGGCTGCTCTCTCGCCCCTCGTGCCAGCTGTTCTCGTCCAGGTCGTCGCCTTCGAGAATGGGGGGAACGAAGAAGGACGCGAACATAAAAACTCCGAGGCCCGCCCGAATTGCTCGGATCCGCGTCGGAGCCCCCTCCCTGGCGCGCGGAGCGCGCCCGGGGTGGCGCCGGAGGCGCCGCCAGGGGGCTCCAGCGCAGACCCGAAAGATCCGCGCGGACCTTGCCATTCCTCGTTCCCCTAGAGACGACGACAACGACGCCCTCGGTGTTGGCGGCCGCCGCGCGCGCGACACGTCGCGGCCGCCTCGCGGCCATCTCGGCGAACATGCGCCGCCGCTGCTGCAGGAAGACGGCCTTCGCAGACGCTCCGCTCGGAATGCGCCCCTCCGTCCTCGTCCTTTTTTTCGTTCCCTCTCTCTCTCTCTTTCTCTCTCTGTCTCTCTCGCCCGTTGGCGAGGAGGAAGACGAGGAGGAGGAGGAGGAGGAGGAGGAGGAGGAGGAACGAAGAGTACGACGACGACGACGTCCCGTCCCTACGCGCCTCCACCTCCACGATCTGGGCGTGTTAGCCTTAGATCTCGGAGCGCTGCCTCGGCCGCGGATATGTGGGTTTGCGGGGCCTGACTGAGCGCAGGAGGGAGCAGACGAAGTGAATGATGCATGTGAACAGCTATGTCTATTTCTTCTAGTGCGTGGCCGGTGCAGTGCGTAATTCCCCATCTTATAAGCGGATCGGAAGCGAGAGCACGATTCTGGAGGACGAGGGAGATCGCAGAAGACAAGCGGGGACAGAGAGCATAGTGGCATTGGCGGTTTAAACATTCGGGGCAGCCAAGGATGCAAGACGATTTGCCACGCTCACTCAGAATCCTGTGGGTCGCGAGCCACCCACCAGCTGCAGTCCTGAGCCATGCCCAAGCCCAAGACGGGGGCACAATCTTCAACAACAAACGAACGGGTTCAAGGTCAGCTTGGACAGTGTCACTCGCACGATATGGCCACCATTTCTGTAGCCTCTGACGGAACAGGTCATGCAAAGTCAGTGCAGAGATCATTGCACAGCAGGCCTGGAACGCAGCGCGTTGCACTTGTTGACGGGGGGCATCGCTCTGTGCCGCATGTACAGCAACTGCAGCATGGTGATATGTCAGACTCTGTGTGCCTGCCCACGCATCCTCCAGGAACTCGACATATGCACGACATGTCCAGTGACTGGGATATCGACGCGAGTGAGGGAGAACCGCAAGACGACATTGATCACGATTATCTTCATCATCGTTGGTACACTTGTGGAGCCAGGAGAGCACTCGCCATAATTCAGGAACAATACTGATCGCCATGCGTGCTAGGGCTGCCGAGCACAACTGAGCAAGAGGGTTGACGCGTGGACCATTCCACTCTCGAAGGCGGCACCAGGCAGCTGCACTGCAAGTTCCAATCGGTGCACGAAAGGCGGATGCGAGAGCTCCAATCTCCAGATCAAGTATGCGTCGCGGAGGCGGAAGATACTGAGCAACAGAAAAAGAGCGTCGGTAGCACGCGGGTCTGGTAGAGCTGGCACGATACCGAGGTAGCCCGGGCGCATTTGTTCCAGGAACCTTGGCTCGAGACTGATATTTCCGACTGGGAGCACTCCAGGAGTCCTCAAGAAAAGCCCCAGGGCCAACAAACATACCCAGGTAAAACAATGCGTCCGCAACCTGGAAGGACGCCCACTGAGGTATGCATAGGTTCAGATATCCACGAACACGAGCCTGCAACGCCGGCGTAAACGCAGAGGCCACAGGGACCAAAAGGCACTCGGGTGGTTCGAGGACGAGACGCGCCACCAGAGCGGAGACCTTCAAAATTCTAGTCAGCGCACGTAGCCGCTGGAGCTGTCGAAGAACACCACCAAGATCGTCTGCGCACGCGCTGCTTATTCCCAGTTTGGCCCCCTCAATGGGCATGCAGAGATCATGTGAGGTAGGAGTACGCGCAGCAGCAAAAAGCCACCCCGATAGAGCATCACCCTGGATAATCTCAGACCGAATTCAGAAGGCAAGGATCATAGCTCCCCGACACGGCATCGCCCCTCGATGGCAGTGTAAAGGATAGCGACGAAGGCGAGCAGAGCAGCAGGACACCAACTGGAGATATTGCTGGGATAGACTCGGAAACGCATGTCCATAGTCAAGAGCATACAACATAGGACATTCTTCATCAGCTTCAGGGCGACACGAGCATGCTCGAGCGACAGCATCCACTTAAGCAGTATTCATAGCAAAGTTGCGTCCCATCATAAATCCTCTCTGTGGTGGTGGCACAAACTTATCAAGAGGCTTCCTGATCGCATAGTTGACCGACGCGGTGATAATCTTATAGCTAGTACTCCTGAGGCCCAGGACCCGAACAGCATTGACATCGCGATCACGTTCTCCAGCTTGTGTTTCGCCATCACAATCACCCATGGGTAAAAAAAGCCGGGAGCGCGCGACTCTCGCTGGCGAAGGGCGGAATCCCGCAGAACATGTCCAGCATAACGCCACGCAGGAGCTCCACTCCGCACGGGTTGGCTGCCCACGCTGCATAGCATAGGCGATCACATCCCGGGGCGGAGTCAGTCGCCCGCGAGAGAACCTTCTTCATCACATAGAGGCTCGGCGGCAGCCTGGGCCCAGGGTTTCCGCCCAAAGATGCCGCCCCAGTGTTTCCCAAGAGCTTGCCCGCGCGCCTCTGGGCCTCCGACGGGAGCCCCCTCGACCATGACATCCCGAAGAACGAGTCGTCGAGCGAAAGGGGCCCGGATCCAAGCTCGACGCTCCAAAGCGATAGCCCTCCTCTTTAATTGCGTAGCCGAAACCTCTTCTCCGTCCTGATTACCCCCTCCTCCCTCGAGTTCAAGCCGTGCGCGCAGTTGGTCGCGATCAAACTTCGAGGCGTTGAGTTGCTGCACATTGCACCACTGCATGAAGGATGCCGCGTGCACTAGCACAACTCTGGGACCTGAAAAGACAGGAAAGTCAGCAGCAGCGGGATGAGATCCCATCAGCCGCTCCGCGGCCTGCACATATTGTCTCCATGCCGCTCTCGCAACAGCTCTGACAACCAACAAAAGCGCGCGGGGGTCGCGCGGGCGGCGGCGCAGCATGCAGCCGCGAACCCCCCGAGTGGCCTCCGATAACATGTACTTATATCGCTCCAACCGTGGCGCCGAACTCTGGTTGTCCAGGTGCGGTTTTTCAGCTTCCAGGAAACGCTTCATGATCGATTTTGACCCCTTCGAACACACAGATATGCTTGGAGGTCGGGCGGTCAGTGGCCTCAGGGGGCCGTCGCTGCCGGAATAAAACAACATGAGCTGCATGATCACTAATCATCTTCTGCGCCAGCTGCTCTGGTTCTCCTTCCACTCTCGGAGACGCCGTCATCTGCGTCAGAGCCCACCCGAACCATGAGATCCAGAAGCGATCGACGGCCGCAACAGCGTCGGCCTTGACATCACAGTGCGCCGCCGCTGAACATGAAATCTCTACGGGGAAATCGAGTGTGGGAGACCAGACGGGGGCTCTCGCGTGCAAGGGCCGAGGAATCCGCTGGGCCTCAGATGGCTGCGAGCAGCTCAGCTTTTCCTCAGAGGCAAAATTGAAATCGCCGTGCACAACTACTACAAAGCTCTCGGGGGGGGCTTCAGAGGCTGCGCGATCCTGGGGAATCGCACCGCGCACGTCCCGAATTCCGTTTGCAGCTAAATCATGGTTGTGCACGTTCCAATGCACCAGGGCGGTTTCCTCGTTCGTAAAACAGACCCTCAAAATCCGGCCAGGAACAAAAGCACGCGAGTCGGCAACGACACCTTCAGGGGGGGGGGGGGGTGGCCATGTTTGATCTCTCCAGGCACGACCGCGGCAACCCCACCTCGGATGCGCTGAGGCCCCCCCCCCCCCCCCCAGAAACTCGATAAGATCAGAGCACCTGGGGGGGCCTTCTGGAAGAAACCCTGAAGCTGCAACTCATCTTGCCTAGCTTCCTGGAGCGCAGTGACCGAGGAGCCTAAACACAGACGCCTCAAGTATCCCAGCACGCTTACCTTCGCACTGCAACAAAGCCCTGCAATTCCAAGAGTTAAAACGGAGGCCCCCGGTCGCCTCTGCATCCTGGAGGGGGGGCAGAGAGGAGACGGCAAAAAAGGCGTGCAAACCTGCTAAAGACACACCGCTGCGGCTCCTGATCAAGCTCCGCAGCGCTGCTGATCGCCTCAGCGAGGCGGTCCTTGTCGAGGCCCAGCTTGTTGATCGTGGCAACTTTCCACTTGACCTCCGTCGGGGTGCGCCCCTCGAACACGTCCAGCTTGAGAAGTGGGTCCCATCCCACAGACAGCCAGCCCCTTTCGCGGCCGAAGAAGAGACGATACGAGTTGCCCAGGAAGGTGGTGAGCAAGCCTTTGACCTTGCGGCCCGTGATCTCCAGCTTGATGGTGCGCGGGTTCTTGTCCGCGCTGGCGCGCAGCTTGGTCGTGCCCCCGCCGCTGCGTGCCTCGATATCGAACTGTCGCCACTGCCCGTCCACCCTGAGCATGGAGAGCGCCTTTGCCGCACGACGAGCAGCCAAGCCTTCACCCTCAACGACACGAGCAGCGAAAACACGCGACAGGACATCACGGCATTCAATCGACCACCAGCCAGCAGCGAAACCTGCGTCGACTTCCAGACACGGTTGCAGCGCCTCCTGCACCTTGGCCTTCGACACCAGCTTGCCCGCATTGAACCTGATGACCGAGTAGTCCACCTCCCGCTCGAAGGCAGACGAGAACACCACAAGTTTAGACGGACGCCGGTTCGCCACGGCCAGCTCCGCCTGCAACTGCTTGACTGCATCCTTGAGCTCCTGAATATCTTTTGTGTGAGTCCCAACCTTCGTGTCCACGCCCTGGACAATTGCAGAGAGAGTGTCGTGCTTCGTTGTGAACCCACGCCGTAGTTCGTCCAAGCGAAGGTTGAGAGCGTGTCCTGGATCTGCTTGTCCAGCTTGCGCGGCAGCTCCTCGAGGCCCCTCTGGCACTGAGAGAAACACTTGCCGACATTAGTCTTGAAAGAGTCGGCGATCGTCTTCGACTCCGTGGCGACCGACTCCGAGTCCACCTCCTTCTTGAAGTCCTTGAGCTGCTCAGCAACGGCGTTGGCGCAGATCGCACGGATGTGCTCGTCCGAGAAGGTGATGTCCCAGGTGTCCTCATCGCTTTCACCCAGGTCCATGGCGGTGCCCACGGGCGAAGACGATTGGCCAGTGCCACCACCAGAAGCAGCAGCGGCAGCACGCGCAGAACGTGGAGTGAGCGCAGCCCCCTTCGTCGACTTCGCGGGCTTGAGGACCGTTGCTCCATGAGGGCCATGAGACGTCATCAGCAGGCTAGACTGACTGGGTGAGAGGATGCAGGGGTTGTGTGGTGGTGCCCAAATCCACCAGTGGAGGCAGAGGAAGAAGGATGCCAGGCAGAACTGCCTTGCCTGCCGCGGACTAGCGGTTTCCCTGCTTGCCTTGGGGCTGGAAGCCCCCCCAAACCATAGTTGTGAGCCAAAATGGCTACGGAGGAGGGGGGGGGAGGAGGAGGAGGAGGAGGAGGAGGAGGAGGAGGGGGAGGAGGAGGAGGAGGGGGAGGAGGAGGAGGAGGAGGAGGAAGAGAAGGAGGAGGAAAGGGCGGAGGGAGAGGAGAGGGCGGAGGGAGGATGTCTGTCTGTCTGCCTGTGTGCTGCCTGCCTGCTTGCCTGCCTACCTGTCTTTCTCTCTCTCTGTCTCTCTCTCTCTCTCTGTATCCCTCTCCCTCTCATTCTCTCTCTCTCTCTCTCTCTCACTCTCTCTCTCTCTCTCTCTCTCTCTCTCTCTCCTTTCCCCCTTCCATGCTGCTGCTTGTGGACAGTCTACGGGACCTCGGGCGCACGCCCTGCGCCGAATGGGAATTCGTTGCCCCAGTGTTCGGTCGAACATTGGAGCCGCGACACATCAAGGCGTCCTGCTTCGCGCGGGCGCCCCAAGACAGCGAAAGCGCACGCGGCGTCTGCTTCAGCTGCGGCAGCAGCACCACGCACGCGCGCGTGCGCCTGAGGGCGCACGGCGCGACCGCGGCCGCGACACCCGAGCGCGCCGCGTGGGGGGCGGGACTCGCATCGGGCGGCCCCATCTCACAATAAGTGCAAGCGCATGCCCTCCCAGTTGCCTTCCCTCTCCTCCCTCCCCTCCTCCTCGTCGTCCTCAGCATCATGATCAGCATCATCATGACCATAAGCTTCCTCATTCTCATCATCATGATCGCCAACTTGTCCATCAACGTGATTACCATCAGCAAGAGCAGCATCATCATCATCATCATCATCATCATCATCATCACCATCATCATCAGCATCGTCATCATCATCAGCATCATCATCACCATCACCATTGTCATCATCAGCATGACCAGCATCATAAACATGGACACCATAATCATCATCCTCATCATCTGCACCATCCTCATCATCGTAGTGATCATCAGAAACCGTAATCGTCATAGTTACAGTCATCGGCATCGCCATCGTCGTCACCGCCATCATCAACAGCAGCAACATCAGCGTCGTCAGCATCATCATCATCATCATCATCATCAGCATCATCATCATCATCAGCATCATCATCGTCGCCACCTCCGCAATCACCATTTCCATCATCATTACTGCTAGCATCAGCATCAGTAGCATCATCACCACTATCACCCCCACCACCGCCACCGTCACTCAGCACCACCACCAGCATGATCACCACCATCACCATCATCATTATCATCACCACCGCCATCATCATAATCATCATCATCATCACCAGCACCATCATCATCCTCATTAGCATCATTGGCAACATCATCACTACCATCACCATCATCACCATCATCACCATCATCACCATCATCAGCATCATCATCGTCCTCCCCATCATCATGATCATGATCAACATCCAGATCAGCATCATCACCATCATCAGCAACATCACCACCATCACCATTAACCTCATAATCACCATCATCGTCATCAGCTGCATCACCATCACCATGATCAGATCGTCGGCATCATCACCTGCATCATCATCACCATCATCAGCATCAGCATCAGCATCAGCGTCATCATCATAATCATCAGCATCAGCATCAGCAGCATCATCAGCATCAGCATCAGCATCAGCATCATCATCAGCATCATCATCATCATCAGCATCATCATCATCATCATCATCATCATCACCATCACCATCATCATCATCATCATCATCATCATCCTCATCATCATCATCATCATCATCATTGAGGTCCGTCACCGCCCGCAGGGCGGTTTCTCGGGTGGGGCCGCACGACAAGGTTTCTGCCGCCCCCGCCTTCCCCTGCCCCTTTCCCTCGTTCTCGCCTTATGTCGCAGCCGTTCACAGCGTCTCGCTCGAGTTGTCAACTCGCCTGTCTAAATGCCAGGGCACGCTCACCGATCTTCTCTGTTTCAACTCTGTGTACATAAATATAATGTCATAGGCCATGTCGTCTTGTAGTCTCGCAGTACTCCGTCTCAGAATATCAAACTCACAATCAGGGGGGACCGTCCCAGCTGACGCATTGGCCACACGCGCCCCAAACACCTGTGGCTCAGGCAGGCAAGCCGTCAATCGGAGGCTTCTGTATCCTCCTTCACTCGTAGGGGTCACGATGCCGTCATCGTACTGCCACTAGGAGCGCCAGACAAGGAACGACAGGCCTTCACTGGCCATGGCGGGTCTCGGCCACGTGAAGGTTCCCCGACCCAAACCGAAACGACGACCAGAAAACCACAGCCCCTCCTGAGACCAAAGTGGTCATTATTTCAATGTGTGGGGTGCACCTGCGTACCTCATCCTGGCCACGGCGAGCCTCGGCCACGAACAGGTTCTCCGACCTAGATTTCAAGCACGGCCAGAAGACCACAGCCATTCCTGCCACCAAGGCAGCCATTACTTCAGCGTCTGGGGTGCACCTGTGTGAATCATCCTGCCGGTGTCTCCCGGACTCCGAAGCTGGCTCCCTCCCACTCCCGCCCGCAGCTGCCTCGCGGCCCGCGCGCAGGAACCGAGCCGCAGGGCGCTCGCGTCTCGCCGGCGCTCCACTGGAAGACGACAGGGGGCGTAGGCGCAGGAGCAAGGAAGGGCGCCACCGCCACCACCACCAGGGGCCACCAGCGGGAGGAGTTGGGGGGGGGGGGGGGGGAGCCCCCCGTGGTGGCGTGCCCCCCGTGGTGGCGTGCCCCCCGTGGTGGCGTGCCCCCCCGTGGTGGCGCCACCGCCACCACCACCATGGGGTCACCGGCGGGAGGAGCCGCGGGGGAAGCGCGAGAACGCCCTATAGGTCCGTTCCCGTTCCCGTTCCCGTTCCCGCTCCCGCTCCCGTTCCCGTTCCCGTTCCCGTTCCCGTTCCCGTTCCCGTTCCCGTTCCCGTTCCCGTTCCGTTCCCGCCCGGTCGCGTGCCCGTCTACCCCCCCTGCGCCTTCAAGCCGACCCAAGATACGCGAACGGGAACAGGAACGGCAAGCCTCCCACGGCCTCCCCTACTACTACTACTACTACTACTACTACTACTACTACTA